ATATAATTTTAAAAGCTTTTATCCACTTTTAATTATAACCTTTTGACCAATATCTGCTTTTCAAATAATATTTTTGTAAAAAAGTAACCTTTTTAGCCAAAATTTCAATATAACCTCTATATATATTGTTCGGATCCTGGTGATCAATAAAGAGTGCGTATGAGAAATATATCGTGTATATATTTATAGATTGTATTTTTAAAGAAATATATTTTTTTATGTGTACGTTCGTATGTACGTAATTCTGCAAACAATCCAAATAAATTCGATTTAAATTATACAATCAACTCTAGTTAATTAGTCAACTTGTTTAACTATTCAGATTTATTGACATTTATTTTGCAATATCACTCCGATTTAATCTGTTAAAAAAGAAGAGCGAAGAAAAAAAATATAACTTATTTTTCATCTTGATTTGCTAGTTTATATAATGCAAACCCAAACAATGGGATTAATTTAATAATGCTCTTCTAGCCTTTCATCAAGTCATCGCGACCCTACGCCAATGTGTTTTCCCCTTACTTTAAATCCCAAAGTCATTTTAATCTTCATCCTCACTCTGATACGGAGTAGGCTGATATATAGTAACTTCACTCGGTGCCAAGGGACCTAACATTTCATCAGGCCAACAATAGGTCGTCTCATTGATCTTATCGTCTAAATTTGTGACAGAATCGGTGTTGGTTTTCATGTCGTCAAAATCATAAAATTTAAATCCGCTATTATTTATTCTTTGTTCAAAGGCATTAAGTTCATAAGATGAAATGTTTTTCCATTCGATTGAAGCAAATGGATCTTTACCGTCAACTGGTGATGTTGGAGGTATATCCCACTCTGACCCATCTCCATTTTGAATAGCGGCGGCAAAATCATCATCATAATATTTTAAATTAGTCAATTCCCACTTTAATAATGGTTCAATAATATCTTTAAAATAATCATAATTTTTTACAAGCAGTAGAATTTTATGAAGTTCGAAATCTTTAGTTAGCCAATTACAAGTGATTACTTTATATGACTCATCAAACTTATCTAAATATATTTCATAAAATGAGAGTGTAGTGGATTTCTCCTGCTGAGCTCTTGACTTTAATTGAAAGAATAAATTATGATATGTTTTATTTATTTGATCTTTTATAATATTAGAAGTAGATAGTTCAATTTCCGGACTAACAAATCCAACAGATTTTAAATTATCAACAATGCTAAAAGGTGCTCCAGAAGAAACAATAAACTTAATTAATGGTAAATTAATTTCTGGTTCAGAATTAATAGAGTTAATGGTG